ATTTTTTTCTAATGTTATTACTTGTTTTAGAACATTCAAAAGTAACATTCTTTCAATGTTCTCAAAATGATGAAATGGAATGCTCCCTTAAAGGGATAGTTCACCCAAAAATGACAATTCTGTCATTCATTACTCACCCTCATGTCGTTCCAAATCCGTAAGACCTTCATCTTCAGAACACAAATTAAGATGTTTTTGATGAAATCCAAGAGCTTTCTGACCTTTCATAGACGGCAAGGATCCTAACGCGATCAAGGCACAGAAATGTAGGACATCGGTGGTTCAACTGTAAATTTACAAAGCTACGAGAATACTTTTTGTGTGCAAAGAAAACAGAACTCCAGTCCATCAGTTAATGTCTGGAGAAGACAAAAAATAAATAAAAATAAAAAAAACTAATCCATGACTAAGTTTTTAACTTCAAAACCATCGCTTCCAGCTAAAAATACTTTTTAATATTTAACTTTTTGTGATCTAGAAATAATATTTTAGATTATTAAAGTCTTATGTGTCTTGTTTACTAACATCCTGCAATCCAGTTTAACCAGATGACAGATGTGCTCAAGTCAGGTTATGCTGTGATTTAAATAATGTCAATTAAGTCATTAGGATATTGCATTATAACTTAAGATTTTTGGCGTTTGCACTGTTTCCTCATTTGCATAATTCATTTAGTGAATCAAGTGCTAAAAGTGTGCAAACAAATCAGTGACAAATTAAGATGTTTTTGATGAAATCCAAGAGCTTTCTGACCTTTCATAGACGGCAAGGATCCTAACGCGATCAAGGCACAGAAATGTAGGACATCGGTGGTTCAACTGTAAATTTACAAAGCTACGAGAATACTTTTTGTGTGCAAAGAAAACAGAAATAACGACTTTATTCAACAATTCTTCTTCTCCTCATCCAGTCTCCTGCGACGGGTTTGGAACGACATGAGGGTGAGTAATTAATGACAGAATTTTCATTTTTGGGTGAGCTGTTCCTTTAACATTTGCATAGCCAAGAAAGAACGTTTCTTAAACATTGAAAATGCCGGACATTTTGAATGTTGAGAGAGCATTCAGAAATAATGTTTTCATGACCTAATGGGAACGTTAGAAAAATGTTCTTGCAACTAATTTTTGTTAGTTGCCTAGGTAACAATTTTAGGTTATAATAACGTCATGGGAACATTGTTTTAAAATGTTTGTAAAAAATGTTGAATGTCCAGTTTTCTTGATGTGATTATAACATTAAAGGTTACAAGAATGTTTCTTACAATATTACACTAACTTTATTTTCAGCTAAAATATAATGTTATTTGAATGTTTATTTTTAATATTTTAAGAATGTTCAAATGTCCAGTTTTCTCGTTATTTAAAGGTTACTTGTTTCTTACAACATTCTACTAACTTTGTTTACTCAAAATATAACATTATTTAAATGTTTTTATTTATATAATCTTAAATGTTACAATTTATAGTTTTCTTGTGATTATGATATTATTTAAAGGTTGCAAAAAATGTCTTAGAACTTTCAATTACAAATAACATAATAAGGACGTATTGAGAATGTTGTTCTAAGAACATAGTCTCAGCATTATGAGAATATATAGAATATTACTAAAGTTCTAAGAACGCTCCATAAACATTACTTTAAGAACGTTTTGTCCTAACATTTATATAACTTTTAAAGATTTAGTGAAGGTTGTGAGAATATTCCCTGTTAGCTGGGTGGGGAGCAGTGATTATTTCATTACATTTAATTCTGTTTTTACTGTAATTTTGTACCTCAACCCACAATTTAAAACCTTCATAGCAGGGTTTCCCAAAACAGAGGCTCATGAGTTGATGAGAAGCTATACTAACTTAAAAATGTTAAATTAAAATCATTTCTAAAATAAACGACAATCAAAATTAAACTAAAAACTATGATTTTGTTTATCTGCATGACATCAGAGAACTGAACATGAAGTGCGTTGTTCAATCATTGAAATATCTTAAAATCTCAGTAAATATTTTAGGTCAAAGGTTTTTGGATCTCTTCATTACAGTATGCATGTTTATTGCTGCTGATTTTAATTGCTTCAAACGCAGAATGTTTCTGTTTCTCTTTTCACCTGAAAACGCGTCTGAAATGCCTGTGTTCCGCTGCTGTTTGGACATAATTACAGGAAGACGCCTGCATTTCCTCTGAAGTTTGTCCCTCTGGATGAAGATAACCATTGTGTTTTCATGCACTGCTCAAGATTTTTGGCTTTTCATAATGTGTAATTGTTTCAGAGTAGAGAAAGGAAAACGTCCACAGTACACATTTAAGTATTGCTCTTTATCTATTTGCATTTGTAGATTTGGGTTATAATGCATTTTTAAAGGCTGTGATTTTTTTCTTCACTTCAGCACCAAACTTTATTCCTATCTATATTCTGAAGGCTTTTACTGAGGGCTTTATTCATACATCATTCACACTTAACATTTTATTCCTAAAAACATGGTGAAATGCTTTTTTTGTCTGGTTGTTGACAGTATTTTCTGATTCATCGAGTGATAAAAAGACATCCAGTATCCCCTCAGTAAAAACCTCTAACTCTGATGTCAACAAAGTCAAACAAGTATTTTGAACTTGGCTTCATCCAGTGTTTACATTTTTGTTCTGGAAATGTATGCAAATGAGTGCATATTTAATTACATGTTGCTTAATTTGTATAAGCAACATTTCAGAAAACTTTTAACACAGACGTTTTTTCTAACGTTACCATTGAGTTACGTAAACATTATTTCTGCATGTTCTCTGAATGTTTAAAGCATCAATTTTTTAAATGTTTTAACAACGTTTTTTTACAGTTTTATGAATTTTAAGGGAACATTCCATTGTATAATTTTGCAAACATTACCGTAACGTTACTGTCGAATGTTCTCTGAACATTCCAAGTAGTAACATCAGATAAATGTGCAACTGAAATATTTTTTTTTTTAGCGCCAACATTCTGAGAATATTATTAAATACCAGATAACTTTGAACGAACATTCTATTAACGTCACTCGTTCAGAACTTTGAGAGAACCTTGCCTGAACGTTCTGAGAATGTTCTCTGCATACATTTGAATGTTTTGTGTTTGCATAACAAAAGTTGTTCTTCCTGACACTGCAGCAGGCGAACACCTTTGATATCAATGCATGTATGAGCTCCTGTGCCCCGTGTGTTTGCAGTAATTGCGCTGCTGCATTAGCATGAGGCCTGCAAGGCCACGCGAGACCCTCACGAGCTCAAACCACTGCATATCATTAGAGCCGCATCTCAGGCTGCTGTAAGGCGGCTAATGGGCGGCGAGCAGCTGCTATCTTGGGCTTTACCTGCATTCTGAATTTCCTTCAAGTGGCGCTTTATAACCCTCCTGACAAACACGCGCTCCTTTATAGATGTTTTTGTCCTCTAGCTGGATTGGTTTTCTTTTGAGAGCTTATTTCATGCAATAACAGTGTCATGCGGCGCTGTCATCCTCCATATATCAGCATGAGAGAGGTTATGTGGGAAGGTGAAGGACTTCTGTGCTGTTTATGGAGGATGGGAGCTTTCCTTTCGAAGCTGATAAATGGCGTGATCTCCTCTGATTGCTCTTTTCTGCATCTGCTTTAATGGTCTGATCCAACTCGAGCTTTCTAAAGACATTCTTCTTTATAATTGCGAGCAGGTAAAGAAACTGGACGAAGCTTGTGTTTAAGAGACATTACTATATATCATTCAGTGAAATGCCACACTAATAAACACCAAACCTTTATATTTGAGTATCGCCTGGACTAACTAGTTTAGCAGGTCAAGCTAGTCACTGTGACTAAATCTGACTGCAAAAAAGAGTCTAACAGGGACATTCTCAGACTTTTAACTAACAATCTTGCAATCTTAAAGTTATGACCACACGTTCTTCCAGTAACATTAATAGAATGTTCATTTAACATTATCTGCGCTTTAATAATGTTCTCTAAACGTTAGCACAAAAAAAATCATTATTTATAGATCATTCATGGAACATTTTTCCTGAAACATTTTAGTTGGACGTTCATCTAATGATTTTTAAATGTTACTAGGCTACTTGTTTCAGAACATTCAGAGAACATTCAAAACTAACGTCTCCATAATGTTTGTGGAATGATCAAATATAATGTTCGTTTTAAAAACTTCTTTTTTTTAACTGGTTTTGAACATTCCGAAATAATGTTTTTATAGCCTAACTTAATGACAACATTAACAAAACTTTGTGGAAACATTTTTGTTAGCTGGGATATGCATATTCACAACCGTTTAAAAGTATGTCTTTTTATTATTTATTTATTATTTTATTTATGAAACACCACAGATAATAATAATAAAGAACATATTAGCATAAAACATATTTGCATGCCAATACAGATGTAAAGCTGCAATAATACCACTAGACAGACATTAGGCCTATTATTTATGAAAATAACAGATTTACTAGTCGATTATATTAACCTTGCAGCACCTCCAATCTTTATATTTGTCTGAATGGCAAATCCTCCTCCTCATCAGAACACAAACTGAGTCACTGGTTTGATCCATTTAATCTGATTTATGAAGTGCGCCACCGGCACATTAATACTCTTCAGAATGACCTCCTGAAGCTCAAACATTAATAACTCCAATCTGTAGTACCATCTCTCAAGTTAATATATACCGTTTTTATTAACAGCTGGATTTCTGTCCTATATTTGTTTGTATATTTATTTAGCGCAGCATGATTTATGTTACAGTATACACACCAAATGTAGTGAGTGAAAAGGAGACTCTTATTTTGAAATGACGCAGGCCAAGTTTATACCTTTTGATTTATTGCTGTTTTATTATTTTCTATTATCATTATTATATTTTACGTCGCACTATTATCGTCTTAATGTGTTTGTTGCCTGGCTGTTTATTCCATTTGCGTTGTAATTGTACCTTGTATGTAACGCACAGTTGTATCGAGCCATGGTGGGTGTGGACGGGGACTCTTATTCTGAAGTGTCTGTGGGCGCAGTGTGCAGCGGAAGTTCGTGCCGCTAGTAGCTGCAGTTCAGGCGGATCCCGTCGGTGTCTGATCACAAACTTTCTGTCAAACCCGAAAAACACCCGGAATCCGGTGAGTGATCCGCGGAGCTGCTTCACACACCCGTTAAACAGTCGAGGGAATGAAATAACACCCGCAGCGCAGGCCTATAATACAGTCTTTCTTTGTGTGTGTGTGTGTGTGTGTGTCTGTCTGTCTGTCTGTCTGTCTGTCTGTCAGTCAGTCAGTCAGTCAGTCAGTCAGGTGACATGGGGGATAAGGAGTTGATGTGGGCTCTGAAGAATGGAGATCTGGATGAGGTGAAGGCTCTGCTGGTGAAGGTGAGAAACACACACTTCATGTCATTCACAAACAGGTCTGACTGCTGTGAAGGTTGATAGACCCTTACAATCAGGGCAGGACTTAGTGGGGTGGGGGCCCCTGGGCTTGAGGTTATGTTTGGGCCCTATACCTCTTGTTCTATTTTCTTTCTGACGGAGAAAAACGGAATTTTGTGTCTGAAAGTTACTCTGTAAGTTGTTGTTTATTGTACATTTGCGATCTTGCAGATATTCGAGAAAAAAAAATAGGACTCTTGTTTGTGTGATAGGCTAAGTCCTATATCATAGGCATAGCTATGTTATAAAAACAGAAATTCATTAAATTGCTATTTTTTATTTAAAATCATTTTGATGACATTTCTTCCCCACTATGTGTAATGGCAGTAAGACGAGAGAGAGCGCTCAAAACGCATCAGATGATTATAATATAATAAACAGGATGTGTTCTCTCAGTTGAGAGATCAAATCCCTAAAATAACTGAGCAAAAAAAAACAACAAAAAAAAGCCAGAGATGTTGGCTTATTAGTATTATAAAAGTTATTGTCATAATTTAACTTTGCAAACGACTGAACTTTTATAGCCTGATTGAATCATTTGCTGGTCCGTGTAACGCTGAGGAACAAAACACTGTTGTTCGGAGACGCAGCGGTTCTGCTGCTTGTTCTATTTTCTTTCTGACGGAGAAAAACGGAATTTTGTGTCTGAAAGTTACTCTGTAAGTTGTTGTTTATTGTACATTTGCGATCTTGCAGATATTCGAGAAAAAAAAATAGGACTCTTGTTTGTGTGATAGGCTAAGTCCTATATCATAGGCATAGCTATGTTATAAAAACAGAAATTCATTAAATTGCTATTTTTTATTTAAAATCATTTTGATGACATTTCTTCCCCACTATGTGTAATGGCAGTAAGACGAGAGAGAGCGCTCAAAACGCATCAGATGATCGCATAATTTAGTGGAACATTAATAGGTTATAGTACTATAGAATCATCCTCTGTAAAGAAATGAGGTGAAACAATGAAACATTTGAGAATTTATCATTATCTTTCTAAATGTGCACTCTTTGGGGCTAAAGGCTTAATGGAGCTGTTTAAAGTAGCCATGTGATCACAAACCAATCGGTGCAGACGCGATTCAATACGTGTGTCCTGCTTCTATGTGAAATAATCATAAATACCAGTTTATGCTGTTTGATTGTTGCCTCGAAGGTCGTAGTTGTAAGCTGTAGCCCCGGCTGGCCCATTTAGATCTTGCGTGCGCAGTGGAAATGCGGCTAATAATTTCTGAATTCTGACTGGCATATAACGATCAAATCAAACAAACATAAACAGGCAAAGGCGGGGCCCCCTACAAGGCGGGGCCCATGGGCTGCAGCCCACTCAAGCCCAATGGTAAGTCCGGCCATGCTTACAATACAGCACTCTGATGATACCGTGCTATTTAATATATATCATGGCTCTGATTGATGTCCATGGTCACATACTGAGGCACTGCATGGTGTGTCAATGAATTCCATTGGATTACCTTGGTGCCAAAACAAAAAGCTTGACATTAGCATGGTATGTTCCAGAAACCAGTATAATGTCATGGTGCTTAGCTGTAAAAGCAACAGGTGAATGTTTTCAAGAAGGTTTCCTATCTGTCAGTGAGAGACAGTGTTTAAACCCGAAAAACAACAGGCTGTTTGTTATTAAAGTCAACATGAAATGCTACACAACCCATTTTATTTCAGTAGTGTGATGTATTTATTAGGCGACTAGTGCTCCAACTACTAACTAGCTGACTATTTTATCTTTTTTTATGTGTGTGTGCGCATTTGTTTTTGTAGTTCTTCTCTTTTAAAGGCTTATCAGCAGTCAGTTTTGCTCCTGAAGCATTATCCAATAGGAAAACAGGAACTGATGATGTCATCGGGAATAGAAAGTCGTTTCATGAGGCAGAGCACAAATTTACTTTTTAATGACAGATTATGAAGACAAATGTGTTTGACTTCGCAATGATGATTTGATCACATTATGGTGATTAAAGTTAATTTAGCTGTTCAGAATACGCAGCAGTGCATCCAAAATCATCGACCATGGTCAATTTTGTTAACGTTAAAATCAACAGGTGGGTGTTTTTTAAGGATCTTTATTTCCAAAATGGCATCAGTCAGTTGTTCAGTGTTCTATCTGTTGTTTGTCTGATGATAATACACTTTTTCTTGGCTTTTGTTGAAGTGTTAAGTAAATACCGTGGTATATGTAAGGAATAATTGACGATGGGCCATTGAATTATTAGAAAAATAATGCACACCCGAGGTGGTGATGCGGCCACGACGGAAGCGGAGTTATTAGAAAGAGAGCGAGAGAGACAGAGACACACAGAGAAAGAGAGAGAGAGAGAGAGAGCTTGTGTGAATTAGGCTAGCTCTGTGCGTCCCTCAACAGTGTTCTGCAGCAGCGTCTCTAAACAGCGCTGTTATTACCTCGCTAGTGAGAAATGTCATGTGTAGCCTTTAAGTTGCTACACTATATAGGCTAACTGATAAAATCGTCAGGACAGCGCTGACAACACCTTTTTGTGCAAACTGCGTGACCGTAGTGTGCGTGTGCGAGCACGTGTGATTGCAGTAATTCCTGTGTGCTGTATAGGTACTGTATGCTAATTTCCGTTATTACATCTGATATAATGGGCGTGTGTGTGTGAGTGTGTGTGTGTGTGGTTTGAGGATGTGGGCAGGAAACCGCAGGTGTTTGAGCTCCAGCATCTGAATGGAGAGTCGTGTGGTTCAGTGCTTCAGCCTCAGAATATTTCACCTTCCTCACTTTAGCCATCAGATGAGATCAGATGATCTGGAGTCACTCGTTCAGTGTTTTGTCATCTGTGTGTGTGTGTGTGTGTGTGTGTGTGTGTGTGTGTGTGTGTGTGTGTGTGTGTGTGTGTGTGAT